AATATTTTGCTTACTCTGTTACCAATTACCTTTGTAAATAGCTTGTATACTACAGAGAGCAAGCTAATCGGCCAGTAATTCTTCAAGTCCTTGTCATCTCCATCGCTAACTTCCATTATAATGTTTATTACCACCGCACACTCGCCTATATCACCAAGAAAAATAACATCACATGACTTGAATGATGCGCACAAACAATTAATTTCTTAGAAAATACAATTCTTTATCACTGAGCGCAAGCGAGGGAGTGCTGACGCACTTAAACCCCAGTGAAGCGATAGCCTCAGCCTCAATAATCTCTCTAGTAAGCTTGTCAAACATTCTCTTGATAACTGTGCATGCATTGAATATCGGCGCGCAGCCGCAGGATTTACAATGTATGGCCAACCAACTTCCCTGGCCGTTTTTCACATTATTACAATGTTCTCTTAATCGATCATTAAGACAACGGCCCGTCTGTCCAATATACTCTTTACCACAAGGAAGCGGGATACGATAAACAACGCATATGATACAGGGAACATAAACAGTTCGATACTTCTTACTACAACCTTTGGGTTTTCCGTCACGGTCATGAAGGCCACACAGGCTGACCAACTTCTTGGGAGCCGAAAAGACAACCCTAATTTCAGAGCGCTTAGCTAATTTCTTTAGGTTGTGCGATATCTTGTGATAGTATGGTATGACGACTATGTGCTTCGGTTTCTCGGAATCACGACTCGCTGTACATCCTGGGTTGCGAAGCGTACGAAGCAAGCCTTCTGCAACTGAAGTTTGGACGTACATAGGATAACCTGCTTTCAACAAACGGTCTGACTGATTATGAAAACTATTGGTGATTTTGTGCTCACAAGATTTGCTTAAAGCATGACGAAAACAATGACTGATGATGCCTTTTTTCACTAGTTTGGAGTGAGCTGATTGGTAAGGAAGGACCGGTTTGTTCATACGTGGTTGGTAAGCCCAACATATGCGGTTAGGATGAAAGGTGAAGAGGACATAGAGGAATTTTATGGCATTGCTTTCAGGCAGTTCGTGTGTGAGAGTCATAATCAGTCAGACCGTTTGTTGAAAGCAGGTTATCCTATGCACGTCCAAACTTCAGTTGCAGAAGGCTTGCTTCGTACGCTTCGCAACCCAGGATGTACAGCGAGTCCTGATTCCGGGAAACCGAAGCACATAGTCATCCTACCATACTATCATAAGATATCGCACAACCTAAAAAAATTAGCTAAGTGCTCTGAAGTTAGGGTTGTCTTTTCGGCTCCCAAGAAGTTGGTCAGCCTGTGTGGCCTTCATGACCATGACGGAAAACCCAAAGGTTGTAGTAAGAAGCATCGAACTGTTTATGTTCCCTGTATCATATGAGTTGTTTATCGTATCCCGCTTCCTTGTGGTAAAGAGTATATTGGACAGACGGGCCGTTGTCTTAATGATCGATTAAGAGAACATTGTAATGATGTGAAAAACGGCCAGGGAAGTGGTTGACCATACATTGTAAATCCTGCGGCTGCACGCTGATATTCAATGCGTGCACAGTTATCAAGAGAATGCTTGACAGGCTTACTAGAGAGATTATTGAGGCTGAGGCTATCGCTGCACTGGGGTCTAAGTGCGTCAGCACTCCCTCTCTTACGCTCAGTGATAAAGAATTGTATTTTCTAAGAAATTAATTTTTTGTGCGCATCATTCATGTCATGTGATGTTATTTTTCATGGTAATATAGGCGAGTGTGCGGTGGTAATAAACATTATGTTGGAAGTTAGCGCCTGTGCCACGTGTCCTCGTCTTGTGTCCCCGTTTCTTTGCGCTATTTTCTGTCGTCACAATACACCAACAAGCCCAAGTTTCGACAGTGCCTCACCAGCAGCTTTGCCTCTTTGCATGCTCTCCAAAGCTTTTCTGACTTCTTCTATCATTACTGGTGGGGTGTCATCAAGGTTACTACTAGTTCTTATAGTAATAAAGTCGTGGTTGTCCCGGCTACTGTACAGATCTCTGTAAAACTCCTCCGCTATTTTAACTATCCTATTCATATTGATAGTTATTTTGCCTTCTTTGTCCCTTAGTGCATCCATCCGATTTTCGCCTATCCCAAGCTTCCTCTTCTCTGCTTTGACGCTTCCTCCGTTTTTCAGAGCGTGTTCAATTCTTTCCATGTTATACCTTCTTACATCGGATACCTTACGCCTATTAATCAGCTTCGAAAGCTCTGCCAGTTCTATTCTGTCTGTTGTACTTGAGACTTTCATGATTTGACGCTTCTTAATGAGATTCTTCGTTTCCTGGGAAAGCTTGCCAGTGTCCTCTCTAACTACTCTGCCTCCAACTTCCACTGCACACTCCGTAATGATACTCGTCAGATTATTATTCATTGTATCTATGCTAAGGTTGGTCTCCTCACTAAGAGCCGAGTACCTGTTCTGAAGCGAGACTCTGAAGTCCTGTACTTTCCCTCTCAGTGCTAGCTCATTGATTGGCTTCTTGCGTATCAGTTTCTGTCGTATGACAGAAACTGTCTGTCGTTGAGTATGATCAAGTCAACTAAAAAAGTATGAGAATATTAGCACAGTGGAAATAACAGATCTTTTAGTACTGGTCTAGAAATTAAACAAAAACATTACAAAATAGTTTTTTCATAACGAAAACAGAAAACTTCAAGAACAAGCACATCTGACCAGCCTATATGTGAGATATTAGGTCTGACGATTATAAACATGAATCACAGGAGTCCAAATACCACAAGACTAGGAGTAATAGAAGGAATAAGAAATTCACAATAGTTGTGATAAGAAAGAGCGAAACAGCAGTCAGTAACTTGATGGTTTGTTGAATAATAATGCTGAATTTACCAAAAAAAGTCAACATTAAATGATGAACAGATACACTGCGTTCGTGAGCTATTAGTGGCGTAATATCGTGACATTTGATAAAAGGTTTTTGTTAAGGTGTCACATAAATTATTATAACATAGAAAACAGAGCAAGCTGGGAGCTTTCTGCCAGAAGTGCCAGAAAATAAATATGATCAAAAAACTTTTCAGCAGCTGCTCCGTTCTCTACACAGAGCATAATACTTTGAAAACCTAATTACAATGAACGGCCCACATATTACTTTAAACAGCCCACAAACCTGAAGCTCCCCTCAAAAGGGACAGCTTAAACAACTTATCTTTCATAAACGCGGGACATGGCCTTTCTTTTACCGCGAAAGCTCTATGTGGGCAAGGAAACAAAAATGCGTCCGGCAGCGGTGTCACGAGCAATCTCCATTGGTTGTCCTATTACTTACGTCAATCTTAGTGGCATACCCAAGCATGCGGGCCATTGGCTGCGTTGCGAGTGACGACATCCATCTCTTGGCATTCTCGGCACTGAGTGCGCCCACTTCAGTTTCTCCTGAAACCTTCTACATGGATATGCCATAGACAACTCTAGAAGAGCACCGAAAGTAAAAACGTGAGAGAACTATCATTCGCCGAACTGATGGGGCAGTCTGGGCATAAAAACAGGCCCGGCAGGCTGAGTGCCGGTAGCAAGTGCGTATACCGATGATCAGGCAATCGCGAACGAGAATGGAAGTGCCAGTGGCGGGCGGATCAGAGCAAACCACCACCGAGCAAGCTCACGATGTCAAACGCTTGCAACGACGCCGAGGCGAACAATGGATGCGTGGTTCTTCAAGAAAGAGAAAAAAAGGCAACCGATTTCTGCGCGTCAATAGGCAACACGGTGAAATGACTACACCGAACAAGTGTCATTGCGACGCCTAACGAGATGATTGCGGAAGTTCGTTCGCCGGTGGAACGCCCGCTTTCGGTGGGAGTTTATCCAGTGCTACTTTGATTTCGGCTGAGATGTCTGTGACTGCCTGTGGTTTGAGAGCCACTGTGATTAACGCATTGTTAAATGCATACAACCTCTCAATACACTCCTCCACGACTAAAATGACGCAAAGCACATTGTGCAGCATGTGAAAAAAAAACGCTTTGGTAAACCCAAGCCATACGTGTGTCTGACTTAATTTAGGAGTACGAACATGTCACCAATCTAGATCAGTGACTTGTTAGGCGAGTTTGTTTATTCTTATAGTTGCATTCTTACGGTCTCTATTCTTTGTTTTGCGCTAAAAGGTCCCGTAAAAGTGCCACCAATAATTTGGAAAGGCTTCAGTGGTACACGTTGGTTGAAACCACTGCTAAACACAGGGGCCACACGTTCAAGCTTTCGCTGGTTAACCATTTACACTGAGTGCTTGGACGGTGATTTTTTTTTTGTCGAAAGAACGTGCTTTCAAGAACGTTTATTAAAATAGTGAATGATAAAGAAAATAAGCAAAGCACAAAGGGCGCACCTTTTGCTTTATTTGTAAGGTACGTTGATCAGTGAAACTAAAGCTGCGGGAACTACATTCATCGCGAAAAATGCCGTGTTATACTTTTTTTTAAGTATTTTTAAGGGAGGATACAATTTTGTACAGTGCGCGTAAGTATACCTCCAACTTGCTAAGTAACTTGCTGTAAACATAATTTTTTTTACATAAATGCATGTTTTCTGTTACCATGTTTCAATGTAGGCATGTCGCTAACCAAGCATTCTTTACTAAGATTACTGTATCGTGTACAATAAAATATGCAACAACGTGTTTCCTTTATAATTATGGATGAAGTAGAAACAATACAACCGAATAAACACTGATTTAGTAAAAGTGCTGTCTATGAGCCGGACATGTGTATATTGGTGATTGAATTCTATAGTGCTTAGAAATTTTTGTGGAACGAGTGATGCAAATGTGATAGAGTAGAGGACACATTTATATATGGTAGTTTAAGCGTTATTTAACTTTGTTTACGATACAGCCCTCAAAACTGTTATTTGCTGTTTGTTGACGGACGTGTCGAAAGTGCTTCGTGAATAATTATCACGAACTGACCCGTTTCAACAGCCTAGTAATGCTGTTGGAACTGAATAACTTTATTTTTTTATTAGCATCAAGACTCAGGCCTTGTGACGGAGTATATAAAGGCGTGAGTTCTGTATCTTTTACATTCATAAGTATATTTATTGCATGCCTATAGGTATACAAAATGAATCGCTAGCTTCTATATCTAAGGTAGAAATTATAGTAGAGCACGGGTCGAATCCGAGAGAGAAAAAATAAATTGAAAAAAAGGCAAGGAGGTGAATCAGAATTCGTTTGCTACTCCGCACTAAAGGGAGCAATAGTGGGAATAAAGATTAGAAGGAGGGCACAGAGAAAAGGAGGTGGCCGAAAAAAATAATCAAAGTGGAGGTGCTATAGCCAATTCGATGGGCCAGTATGACGGGAGTACTTCAGTAAGGCTTTGACTGATTTTCTGTTCGAAAACAGATCGTGTCGTCATTTGAGCACTGACTGCTTCGTGAATGCTTTTTCGTCATGGTGGGCTAACGCAGCAGTTAGCGGCTGTTTGCGAGCGTTGTAGCGAGAGCAATGACAAAAAAAAAACGCGCTCTATTTCATCGGAACTGGAGTGATCGCAAGCAGCACTGTTTCCTATTTCAAAAAAAGAACCATTTGGTGAGAGTGACACCAAGCCACAGTGAGCCAAGCATTGTTGTCTCAAGTCGAAAGTCCGGACTGAGGCTGAAGTCGACAAGACGCGTGCAGTCTATGTATAGCCGTAAAATTGTTTTATTCCACAGAGATTTTACATCTTCGTTAGCAATATGTCGTATTTTCATGGCAGCATCAGTCCTCGAGAATAGGATACATCCGTCTAATGTGTCTTCATTTGCAGATCAAGCCGCTGCGTCGGCATGCTCTTAGCTCAATGTGCCGCAGGAATTTAGAACCCACTGAAACGTGATGCCATGTCTTTGGACGAAGAAGTGGCGGAGCAGCTCTCTAATTTTTAGCCTTAGTTCTCCAAGAGGTCCACGGCGTATTCCGCATACGAAACCAATCACTGTAGTGCTTCTTTAGAGTCCACGAACACGCTACATCTCGAGGCTTGTTGACGATGAATTACTGTATGTACGCTACGGAACTAGCAAGCTCTCCAGTACGGTGATGTTATTAGAACAAGCCCTCAAGCCCCAAAACTACATCGTATTTCCAACACTGAAACGTTTGGTTAGGTCGTGTACTAAAACAACTCTCTTGTCATACGTTTTACTTCGGTTGAGGTCGCCTTATAACTGCGAAAATCCACTGACGTCCTGAAGGTCTTTTGTTTAGAAAATATTCCTTCAGTATGCTGCTATTAAAATTGGAAAAAAAAAACACAACACCCGCGCAGAGTAGTCACGCCTTCTCTCGAAGGCAGCGTGAAACCGGTGCCAACTTATTCATGCGTCCATCTAGGGGGTCACAATAAAAAGGAATGCACATCTAAACGACGCTATACCTGGCTGAAAGAAGTAGCGACGTTTGACTTAACAGTAACAATAAACACTTCGGCCACCATGATGCTCAGTACCCCAAAGCCGGATACACTCGCTGGTCAGTTCACTACAACCAACATGAGTGCTTCTCGGGAATCTCGACATGTTTCTGGAGCTGAATTGGTCGGCCATATGCTGTGGTACCCGTGTAGATACCGTAGATAGGTAGATATGTAGGGTTTAACGTCCCAAAACCACTATATGATTATGAGAGACGCCATAGTGGAGGGCTTCGCAAATTTAGACCACCTGGGGTTCTTTAACGCGCACCCAAATCTGAGCACACGGGCCTACAACATTTCCGCCTCCATTTGTAGATACCGTAGGGGTATTTACAAGGTCATTTCGTTTGCTGATAATATTGTTTGCATCCGCGTGTGTATCGCCGGATACGTTTACACCAGCTCTAGCGTGCGTCCTAAAATGCAGCGTGTTTGTTCATGCACCGTACGTCATCAGGCGCCCAAGCCGGTGACAAAGTGCGGAACATGTCGCTGCTCTTTTGGCAAGAGATGTTGACCCGGGTGGTTAATGGCTACGAGTCATAAGCTTGATTATAAGCTTTCTGCTACATTAAAAGATGCCTATTAAACTGGTTTTCCTTGAGCTAGAATATAACTGTGTCAATGTGCTATAAAAAAGAATTTTGAAAGGTAAAAGAGCTTAGCACGCAAAGAGAAGTTTACAGTGGTCGTGCCATATATAAGAGACACCTAAACCGGTGGATCTTGGGCGCCTAACATGACTTTCTTGGCTTCTCGTATTCCCTGGGCGTAGACACACTACAGTCTAACTACAGACTCCTGCAGACCTTGCGAAAACGTCTAAACTACAGCGCCAGAGGTTATTGTGCAAACCTGGCTCTGGCACCCCCGGTGGAAGCGTGGATTTTTCGTCACTCGTAGTCGGCTCGCGCCCCACTGGGCAAACTTGGCACTGCAACTATGTGGACACTCATCGTGTGAAAGTGCGGCTGATTCTCAGTGCATGCGCAGCTAGGCGATGTGAAACCGAAGAAGTGCTCTGCTGTGGCCTAATTATTGAACAATGACGGTGCGAACATCTTTTTACGCGTATTCATTTTTGCGGCCACCCGCTTTACCCGGAGATTTATTAGCTTGCTTTTAAAACCATCACACACTCCAGCACATTCATTCGCGACGATACAAATGTTTAAAAGTCACCAATGACTATGTATATCTGAGAATGACGTCTGTAAAAAGGAAAATACAATGAATTTATTTTTTACAGGAAGGATATACGACGTCATGTAGCTACACATGTTCTGACGTGACTGAAGAAGAACGTGTGATGAACTATGAAGAAGATACACCTTGCATTGTAAGCCCTTTTATTGTGCATGACTTGTGCAACACTGCCATATGAGAAAGTAAATAGATTATACACGTGATCCTGTCTTCACCTAATAACGTTGAAATCGTATAGAGTGAACCCTTGTGGCAATGTGTTTTGTTCAGTTTCACGTATAATAATTTCGAGACCTTCAAGTAGGAAATCAAAGGCAGCGCTACATATATCCCCAGACCTCTCTTTTTTTTTTTTTTGCTCTAGGCAAGCATATACCAGATTTGTGGGCTTAACTCCTCTCCTGGCCTACCAAGTTTTTTCGTCAAAATCAGTGAGCATTGTGAACCCAATAAGGAGACATAAACGGACACATCAGTCTCCTATAGCGAATTTCTAAAACTATTTTTGCAATGAAAAGCGCGGAGTGGAGATAATGCTATAACTTATTCGTTTCGTAACAAGAATCAGCTACTTTGCTTTGAGATATAATTTCGCCTGATATTGTTTCCACAAAACTAGTTTAAGACAAAAATGACGGTTTTTCAGCAGGTTATTTAGCTGGGCCATGTAGCCATTGCCATAAATTTTCTGCAGGCCATTTAGTCAGCGAAAACATAGACCGCATTGTCCGCCCTAATAATTTGTGGTTTGCGTAGAGAAATTACAAGCTTTTACATAATCGCTCATGAAAAACGCTACACACTCAAAGTACTTACATGTGATAATCAGCATATCTATTGCCAACAATTGTAAAGAATCAATTATTTACGTTAAGTTTATTGTTGTGACCATTTCAAAACTTGATTTTAAGTAAAACTCAAATTTACCGAAGTAGCCATTGTAGAAGTTCAATGAACAAAGAAGCAACGTATAACAATAATTTGGCGTGTTCAAATGCTACAAATCCTCAATATAGGCGTAATTTGTGTCTTTGCTTAACAACCCCTATAATTTCAAGCATCTGGAAGACATTTAATCTTCACTTTTATTGCACACTACACGGGCCTCTATCATGCTCTTTCTGGCGAAACGTGACCGTCACGGCCGGAATAGGAGTTCCACCTTGAGCAGCCGTATGCCATAACTACTTAGACAGCGTGACAACCGTGTGATAATGTTTCGCTGAAAAGAGGGCAAACGTCGAATCGTCGAGATTTTTTTTTGAAGACGCAAAATAACAAACCCTATTACCGGAACGTTAAAAGAGTTTCTTGCTTCAACTTAGCTGGTCAAGTGTGCTGTCTTCTTCGTTTCAAAGCGCTCGAGTGAAGAGGTGGAGAGTATCAAACTGGCCGGCCTATGCAAGAAGGGCGTCTGCGTGGAACCGTCCGAAATAGGTGTGCAAGTCTTTGAGACAATTTTAAAGAACAGTGTATTAGTAGGCCCATGAGCCTATAGGCTCTGCCAAGACCTGGATTCTTATTTTTGTCTCAAATATAGATCATTGAAAGAGGTTTTGGCAAGCTTCTATTTTGCTCTCGACTTTTCTGCATTAAAGTTGAATGATATCTCATGAACAAGCCCAGACTAACACCTTAGTTAGGGTAAAATAAAATGAAATGCCACAAAATAATTTTTTTTAATAAAATGAAGAGGTTTAACATCATTGTTAAAACAGGAACAAACCCGAATATACGGATATCAAGTAGGATATTGAGCAACAGAAGGCTCCGTTACACGTTGTTTGGAGCGCGGTACACGACAATGACGGCTTGCAGGAACTTCATTTTATAGAGTATGAAGAATTAAAAATATAACAACTTGTATAGAATAGGATACTGAGTGCTCCCTTTTGGATTAAACAGCTAATTTTTTTTTCGATGTGCTTAAATTTATAAAGATTTGTTGCAACACCTTCACTTTATAGAAACTTTAAAAATGTATAATTCTTTTTGAAAATAGATGTCTACAAGAATGTAAGTGTATGAGTGTGGTAAGCAATAAGCAGCTACAACAATATCGGTTCATATCGTCCCAAAATGTTGTCGCTTACCATACTTCTGTCACACCTAGGAAACCACGAAACAAGACAAGCCCACCCTGAACGACTTATGAGGTGCAAAGAGAAAGAAAATAGCCGGGCAAGTATCTTATACTATTTTTAAATTTTTGTAAGACCCCTGACCTCAGAACCAATAGGGTTCGATAGCCTAGCAGTTCTGGTTGTACAAAAATACCTCAAAAATTGCAGCCAGCTCCTTCTCGGGTACATCTTCAAAACAGCAAAGCTGAGCTACCTTTCTCGGGCTCCCCTTCAACCATATTCGTGTGTATCTCATTGGTTAACCCTTTACAAAGGGTCTCACCATCGTCCAGCTTGGTGCGGCTCACACCTTTCTCTCCTACCAACTTCCACTACTACCACGTCGCAAGACCCCTAACCAGGGCTATGTCAGCGGACGGGGAAATCTCGGCTAAGAACAGTTTCACCATTGAAAAGCACTCGTGCCTGTATTTTAGAAACCAGTCTTGCCCTTTGTGCGGGTGATCGGGTAATATCTACATTTTTTCGTGGGAAGTGCGACAGTCTGCCACCAGGAATGGAGGTGATGTAACTGATATCGGAAACCGCATTTCAAGCTCGTTCAGCGCTATACGTGATTTTTGAGAATGGCAACCTTAGTTACACTGAACCTCACTTTATAATGTAAAATAGAATTACCAACATAAAAACATCAGCACAGTTAGTTTCCGCGTCTCTTTATTGTTCTTTGCATCATCTGCATTATCATAAGTACGCCCACTTTGGGGCAAAGGCCTCTCCCACGATTCATCAACCAACCTGGAATCGTGCCTTCTGGAGCCACGTTATATCAGCGAACTTTTTTATCTCATCGCCCCACCTAACTTTCTGTCTCCCCGTCTTGCCTTTGCCTTCACTGGGATCCATGCAGTTACTCTTAAAGACCAGCGGTTATTCTGCCTACGTGGTACGTACCCAGCCCATGTCTCTTTCTTCTTCTTGATTTCAACTATGATATCTTCAACCCCAGTTTGTTTGCTGACCGACTCTTCTCTCTTCTTGTACCTTGATTACACCTATTTTTTGCTGTCCATCGATCGCTTCCTCATCTTCAATTTAAGCTGAACCTTCTTTGTAAGTATCCAGGTCTCTGCTCCTTAGGGAAATGTCGTAGGCCCGTGTGCTCAGATTTGGGTGCACGTAAAGAACCCCAGGTGGTCAAAATTTCCGGAGCCCTCCACTACGGCGTCTCTCATAATCATATGGTGGTTTTGGTACGTTAAACCCCACAAATCAATCAATCAATCAATCAATCAATCTGCTCCTTAAGGAAGTACCGGGAAGATGCAGCGTCACGTACCTTCCTCTTGAGAGTTAGTGCTGGATTACCATTCATAATATGTGAATGCTTGCTGAATGTTACCCACCCCATCCGTATAATTCTAGTTATTTTAGTCTCATGGTTCGTTTCCGGGGTTACAACCTGTCTTAAGGGTAGGTATTCCTTTGCAACTTCTAGGGTCGCTCCACCTACCGCAAAGCGCTGTTTTCCGCCAAGACTGTTGCGCATTGCTTTAGTGTTATGCATAATACTTTTCAGATGTCGTTTTCCGCTTTCCGTGTGCCATTCAGTAATAATGGACTGTTTTAGTACCTGGAGTTAATAATAAAGGCAATGTCATCAGTAACTTCCACGTTACTAAGATACTCTCTATTTATTCTTATGTACAAGTGTTCCCAATCTGTGGCCATGTGAACCTCCTGTAAATTCGTGGTGAATAGCTTTCAAGAGCTTGCGTCTGCCTGCCTTAAACCCTTCTTTATTGGGATTCTGTTGCTTTATGCAGAACTGTGGTGGTTGTGCATTAGATGTCGATTTCTTTGCGTGCGTTTAGAGCACCCATTACTATTATGTATCATGCATACGTTTGTAGAAAGAGAGATGCTGAGCACTTGAGGAGAACAGCTTGTCAATCTTTTGTATACATTTCACGAGCCGGGATCAGGCTTACAGTAGAGCGCTTACTACCAGCCCTAACAAGGTTATAAACGGTGTGACCCGGATGAAAATAAGTGACCAAAGTATGAAATATTATGATGAACAGAAATAGTCACGAAGCAATCGCAATATAGTACTTCTAATGGCTAAAACATTTTTTAAGCACATGGTTCACTTGAGCAGAGAACGAGTGAGAGTGCCACCACCTCGCCGTGCGTGGGCATGCTCCTCCGCCTGCGCCACATTTGCGTCAGTGCGGCACTGAGTCACTAGGTGAATCCATCTGAAGTGGGAAACGACTGTGCTAATGCAGAAAGCGCATGTCGCAACTGCCGTAGCAAAAAGTAAATGAAAAGCGCAGCAAAAAGTAGCCAATATGACGTACCCCTAGTTCTACACTGTGCCTGTCAAGAATACGTAGATGTCGTGGAAAAACCGCATACTTAAGGGGGTATGACAAAGTGATCCGCCCACTCCCTCTAAAAAATTGAATTAGCAATTTTGACAGCTAAAAATCCACTGTACCCTGAGGAACAAACTGTGGAAGCCCGATGCCGAGCGGCTGCTCCAAGTGGTTTAAACGCCGCGCTGAAGTGCATCGCGCGCACTATGGAGTAGGCACATTACTAAATACGAAGCAGTAGGAACTGTACGAACCGGAATCACTGTGTGCCTATTGGGCGCACTTCCTCAGGTTTCTCAGTAGTAGAGCTGCCATGCCCTTTTTTGTTTTGTTTTAACGCAGTTTTTTTTCACTATTATTGAAGCATGTCTGAACATAACGCTCATAGCGTCTTTCTCTCGCAGAAAATGGTCCTCTGGAACTGTCATTACTATTGTCAAATAAACCACGCATGGTACAGTGGTTACTACAATAGCAACCTTACCAGCGCATGCCACGTAAGTTCATTTTTTAAGCACAACACCATTCACATTGAGAGTTTTCAGAAAGTGAACGTTTATAAAGGTAGTGAGCGAAATGAACACTAGAATAGAAATTCATCTGTAAACATACCTTTCAATAAATTGCATATTCCCGGTTTACTATGAGAATAAGATGAAGACTGCTCTCTTAGCTATGTACTCTTTCAAAGACACCAGTTTGAGGGGACACGTATATAGAATGTCTGCTTCAATAAGCAAACTTTTTTTTTCAAATTGCCTCAGATGTGGCAAGGTCCTACAATGTTCTGAATGCAGTTTTGCTATAAATGAGCTACAGGAGCAAGAAAAACAACGGTTATTGCTTATACTGAACCATAATATATGTGTGCACTGCAAGTTAGCAAACAATTATAGCTTCCCCTCCATAAGTTCTTATATTACTCTTTTAGCCTCAGATATAAAGCACTATCGGGTCTCGGCTTCACGGCAAATCTTGTCGTCGTCACGACAGCCCATGCTAAACGGGCAATTTCAGCACAGATTCGCTAAAGGCCACTACTCGCCACCGTTCCATAGTAGGAATATTATCATTGAAAGGTTTGTTGCTACTGCCTTAAATAATATCTTTGGATAAGCAGCGAAGAGAGGATTCTTCACAAAATTTAGCAAGGCACCCACTTCTTATTTATTACCAGAAATACAAATGCGATTTTTTATCACTAAGTGACGTGTTTGAAACCACACTTCCAGAAACATGTCTGCACCGTGATCGCGACTTAAGCAGCAAACAGTAAAGATATCACTGTGTTTAAGACCAGCGCCTACGGTACATCCTTTAGGTTTCACATTAGGCAAACTGAATTGCCCAGTTATATGTTTCTCACCGCCATTTTAATGTGCAGTCGTATACTAAACGTAGTTCTCGTTAAGCAAATGAACATTCAAAAGTTCAGATATATGACCCACTGGCTTTAACGGCGTATGGTAGGTACGGCAGTTGTCGCTCTTTAAAAACATATTTTACATATACACCCTTGTTGACCGCCTGTTTATTCTAAATTGTCTCATACCCCATCCACGGACTAGAAGTGGTCTATACATCGCTTGAAGGCTGAAAGCATAGAAGAAATAGAAATATATTGTCTAAGAGGAGTTGTACGCTTCTTTAATGTTCATATTGATCTATAGTAAAGTGAAGTGTCGGACTAGTTTGTTTTGTAAAACGAAGTACTAATAGCGTGATATTCTACACGGGGACACAACAGACATCGCTTATCTTTGTCTCTTATTTTGTGTTAACTCCCGTGCAGGACATCGCGTTGTTCCTACTTCATATCAACCGGCTTCTTGCCTTTTGTAGCTCTTATTTGGTACTGTCATTTATGCGCAGCTTCCTAAGGCCACCAGAGAACAGCCTCTGGGATGGTGCTGCAGAGGAGAGTGTATTAAGAAGCAACACTGTGGAAAGAAACACACGAGTTCACG